ACAGGTTTATTTCTTTGTGGAAGAACTATTTAAGAGGCATTTCATTGTATGTTGCAAAGATGTAATTGGGCTCTGGCTGGTTTGTTCACTTAATAGGTGTGGTAATAATTATATGTCACTTTTTAGTATATGGGCTCCTTATTCCTCTCCAGGCTGATTGCTTTATCTAGGAGGCATCGAGTGGGGTTGCTCCAAAAATAATATCTGTGGGAAGATGAACTTCTGATTTATTTCTCTCTGGAAGCTCAGGGTTGTGGTGTGTTCAGAGGGAGACAGCAGCTTCCTATTAAGTAAGGCTGAAAAATAGCAAAGAAAGGTAGTGAGATCTGTGCAGAGGTTGTTTTCACTTCATATTTAAAATACTCTTTTTCTTGCATGGCAGGGAAAATATTTAGAGGTTGACTACTTTCCGACTGACTACTGGACACAAAGGGATGATGTACATTCGGATTAAGTTCCAGGAAAAGCATTCTTGGGGCTAGGTGACGTCACCTACAACATGTCATTGGAGCTGAAATTATTTTTTATTTATTTTCTGCACCTTCCATCTTAGTTCTTGCTGCTAATCCATTTTGAGTATTGTTCTTCTGTTTTGTTTAATTTCTATTTCATTGTGTATGCTATTACCGTTGTCCCAATTTTTCCCCTTTGCCCCCCTCCACTCAGCGCCCCCCACACACATATTTCTATAGACAATCCCCACACCGTTGTCCACATCCACGGGTCATGCATAAATGTTCTTTGGCCAGTCACTTCACTGAGCATTGGTCTTCTTTTTATCCTCTTTTCTGTGTCTCCATTTACTTTCTTGACTGTATTTTGAACTTAAGCTCTTTCATCTTGCAACTCAGAACTATTAATATAAGTATTGAGGATGGGAAGGTCTGAGAGAAGGAAAGGTGCAGAGCTTTGGAAGGGACAGGTTATTCTGGGCATCATCACACAGTAGGACTCAATGAATGAACCCCCAGCAGTGATCTGATCTGAAGGGTCATTGGCATGGCATCTCTATAATTACATTGGTGGTGACAGGAACATGGCTGGCTGTGGTCATTGATGGTGGCTTCTTCAGTGACCTTGTTGCTTCATATATATCTGCAGGGGTAGCGGCATCTGCAGCAGAACCTTCATTAGACAAAAGCATTTGTCATGGCCTCTGCAGTGGGTACTGATGACATGACTGACATTTTTGGAGTCAGGAGTGACTAAGATCACCACAGCAATTGGACGAAGTGGAGAGGAGAAGAGCGGAAACACTGTCGTCTCCAATGAAACCGGTGTTCCAAGCAGGACACCCACTGTGGGTTGTCTGTGGCCGAGCTTTGGTTATGGGGCAGGGAAGCTATTTTTCCAGTAGAGCTGATACGAGTAAAGTCAGAGAATCATAGTATATATCTTGTAGGATTGTGGTTTAAAATGCAATAACTGGTTTAAAACACATAAAACAGTGCTTGACACTTACTACAAATTAGCTAATTAATATAACATAGTAATAATATTTGTATTATAGCTCCCTTTTGTTAAAAACTGATTAAGTCCAGGGGCTAGATTAAAGTCTTTACTTGTATAATATAGACAATATATTTTATGCTACAACTTTAACAGTTATGACCTGAATTGTGTCTCCTCCAAATTCCTATCTCTAAGCCCTCACCCACAGTGGGACTATATTTGGAGATGGGGTCTGTAAGGGGGCAATGGAGGCTAACTGAGTTCATAAGGGCAGAGCCCTAATCCAATAGCACTGGTCTCTCCTTATAAGGGGAGAGACACAAGAGTCCCGTCTCCCTCCACATGCCCAGAGAAAAGGCCATGTGCAGGCTCAGTGAGGGATGCCATCTATAAGCCAAGGAGACAGATGCCCCCAGAAGCCAATCCTGTTGGCAGCTCGATCTTGGCACCAGCCTCCAGGACTGTGAGAAAATAAGTTTCTGTTGTTTAACAGACCATGTGTAAGGAATGATTCCCCCCCAGTTTGTGGTATTCTGTTACGGCAGCCCAGGTGGATTAATATACGTACTAAAAACAAAAAAACGCAGCTCTTTCCCTCAAATCCTTGACTTCTTCATTTTTTCTATGACTTTATTCATGCTCCCCTACCCTACTGAGGGAGAACAATTGATCTTGCCAATTAGAAGTTTCTTGGCTTTCTGGTTTAAAATGAACTGTTTGGGGAATTTCCCTGCCTTCTGCTTTCCCAAGTGGAAGAATGCTTACTTCTTCTTGAGATTTTGGGGCATAAGGTCCTTCAAGGACTTTTTTCTGGGAAGGGGTGTATGTTGTATCTGTTGCTGAAATGTGGGCAATGAGGTCACTCATTTGCATGTCACACGTGGCACCTGGTGACTTTCTCCATGATGGACTTGGGACTCACCCTAGCTGTCCCTGGGGCTGCTGGTCCTTTGGAGCTGGCAGTGACTTTGGTTGCATCCTTAAGGCTCCTGGCGACCTCAAATGTCCCACAGAACTCGGGAGTGGCATGGGGGCAGGGTTGGGGGGAGACGGCGGGAGTCTGCTATCTTGAGCTCTTCCACCTGGCACCTCCCTAGGTCATTTCTACTCCAATATCTAAACATCCTACTGGCCTTTTGCCATTAAGCCTCAGGTCATCTGTGAAAGCCATGAGCTCTAGGGAGGCAAGGAGGAAGCGTCCTACTTTTAAACCCTGGCTTTAACCAGAGCTTTCTAGATGCCCCCCCAATACCGACCTCAAGGTGACCGGGAATTGAGTTTACTTATGTCTGCCCCTCCCACTTCTCTTCTTCTATTAACGGGCTCTGCCTGCTCATTTTCCACTTCAACTCCCGTGACAGAAACTGCCCTTCAGTCTGATCCTCTGCCTTCCCTGCCTCAAGCCTCACGCTAAAACCCTGGGCTCCAGTCTTTCTAGCTTTGTCTACTAATTCTTAATGCTCAGCTTTTGGAGTTCAAAGAAAACACCTTATCAAAGTCCTAGATTCTGAAAATTAGAGGTGCTTATCTTTAGTCCATTGTCTTACTGTGAACAGCAATGAAAATCTGTATTTTAAAATTTGAAGCCTAGCAAGATGTATTTGACACAGGATGTTCTGCCCCCCCCCCCAATGCCTCAAGGGTGACAGGGACCTGAGCAATAATGAAGAGTTTAAGTGAAAAGGTGATTCATCAATTAAATATTTTCAAATATATTCTCTCTGCTATACTCTTTTCTTAGTAAATCTTTCCACACTCAACCTTCTCCCCCAAATATCTTGATCTTGGTGTCTTCTTCCTTTCAGAGAAAGTAGGAGCTAAGGTTGTCTACATTCTGTGTTGACCCTCCCCCCTCCTTACCATAGAGTTCGGTCAGTAACAGCCCGCAGAGTTTTGGGGGGGAGCAGAGATAAGCCTTGAAATGACCTAGAACGACTAGCAGGTGTTCAGGAGCTTGTTTGGAGTCTAGAGGAAGCATAACCTTCCACTCACCCCTATCCCCATTATTTCCCGTCCTGAGTGATCATTTTGTCCCTGGTCTCAGAAAGCCAAAGACCAGCACTGGCTGAACATAGGCCACCAGAGAGTGAAAGCGGGCTCCATGCCATGACCTAACACGTACTTCTTTGTAACCCAAGTTATGGGCTGTCTTTCCAGCATGGCTTTGGGATCTGGTTTCTTTCCTGAAAACACGGTCTGTCCAAATCACTGAATTGATCCTGTGGCTGGCAGCTGCTAGAATCACCTTTCTCTTTTTTCTGAAAGATTTAGATTTCAAAAAATGGGCTTAAAATGTTGTTTCCCCTGCTCTTTGCTTCCTTCTTTCATTTATCTCTGCACACTGTTCCTCAATAGGTAGAGAGAGCAGAGCTCGGAGTCTAGAGTTCATGATTAGCTCAGAGTCCCTAGTTTGCTGACTGGGGAGAAATTGGGGAGGCAGACAACCTGCGAACAAATCCCATTATTGGCTGCATTCAATGTCCAGTGTTGTGGAGTAGTTATGGTCCAGGGATGGGCATGGATGGAGAGCAGCAGGGAGCCTCCCTGGCTCTGACGCACTGTAGGAGCATGTGGAGGTAGTAGATGAGAGTTCCCCACACTCCCAAGGGGGCTACAGAACTGAAGAAAGGCCTGGTGGACAGGAGAAGGTCTGAGGTCAGGACAGGGAAGCTGAAGAAGAAAAGGACCTTTGAATAGAGGCATTGGCTCAGAGTGCCAGGAAGACATCACAAAGGTCAGGTAGGGCAAACTTGACTTGAATGGGTGCCAACTGAGGATGCCCAGGTCTTGGTGGGCCCCACTGTGCCAGCACAGATGAGAAAGGGAAGCGGCCCGCCTCCAAAGGCCAAGCTGAGTGGGATGTCTGCAGTGCCAGCCAGCAAGGATGGGAAGCTAAGATGTCATAGAACACCCCTCTTTAAAACGTGTTCACCCCCAGGTAGAATGTAAAGCACAGCAGGTGAAACTTCTGAACCAGTGAGTTCCTACCCTAGAGTGTCTAAGATTTGAATGGGATAAGACTTAAAAAATTGTATTTTAATTTGGCTTTATAAAAATCATTGAATGAGAATCAGGTATACTGAACTGTGATAAAAATGTATCTTCTGCTATAGGTAGACTGGGAGTTTATACCTTAAGTTGAATTCACTTATAAAAAAATAAGTTACTTGTCAAATTTGGGTTTTTATAGCTACGTATTTTACTTTAATATTTTAATCAACTATATAAGGAAATTAAGTTCAGAGAGATGAAATAATTTGTTCAAGGTCATGGGTAGCAACTGGTAGAGCCAAGATGTTAAATGATCGGATATCAAGGCTGTGTTGCCAACCACTAAGCCCAAACCTCGGACTTATATGGTTATCATTTTTATCCTCTGTATTGTTTTTAATTCATAGGAGGCTGTGGCCTAAAAAAGTAGGAGTTATTAACTATGTCCTGTTATAAATGTTCTTTATTTACCTTTGTCCTTGGTCTGTGTCCTTGGTCTGGTTTTTTTCTCCTCAATTTCTTTAACCTCTGTGACTTTGTTCCTTTTATTTTGTTAGTCCTCCGTTTTTTCCTTTTCATCACTCCACTGAGCCCCGTGGGTTGGCAGTGGGTTCCTCCCGGAGCTGCCTTGGCCAACAGCGGGCCGTGTGGCCCTTGGGGTGGAAACTGTACCCTGTGGAGCCTGCGAGCCTGGCATCTTCCCGGACCTCAGAAAGCAGAACATGAAGAGGACAACACTGTCTTTGGACTTGGAAACCTACAAATTAAGAGTTCATTGTGTTTGAAAGGTCCAGAAGGATTGGGTTTAAGATGAATGGAATAATCGTCTTCCACAGAAGTAAATTTACTTGGCGGGTTTCCACTACAATGGATTTAAAAAAATGTCAGATGGAACTAAAACATTTAAGACATATGGTGCATTAACTAAATGTTTAAACATTTGCCTTTAGCTGCGTGAACATATCACTGATGAGATGAGCTCAGTGAGCTATGTTGAACATCTTTGACTTAATCACTGTCCAGTAGAGAGCTCTATTTCTTGAGTCTATTTAATATTAACCATTCCTAGATGCTTACAGCAGATACCAAATACATGTTATAATTTCGCCGCTAAATGCAAATGCACATAAAGACGAAAGATCCAATTGGGAAAATATATCTGTAATTTCAGTCATTACTTTTTATTTGAAATATGTTCTCTCGGAGAAGGGTGCAAAGAAGATTGTTAGAGCATCGCCGCGGGAAGCAGTAAAAGCCTCTGGAATACCACCACCCGGTTTGATCGTCTTTCAGAAAGTTCCTTGATACTTTAACACTTGGTCAGCAAACAGGCAAGTGTGGGAGGGCACCCCCTCACCCTGTGTCTGCAGCAGACATTGTTAATCAATCACAATACTTAATTTTCCTGCTGAGCCGGCACTTGGCCCGAGAATTTTTCTGTACCCAGCACTGCAGGCAGCCACCACCGATTGATCCAACTTGGCACTTTTAAAAGAACCCTGTTTGCAATCTCCAGACACAGAACAATGATGGAGCAGTGGGGGTTTCTACATCTGCTCTACGTAACAGATGTGTAGTAGCTGTGAACACTAGACCACTGGACATGGTCGGAATGTATTCCTTCAATTAAAAGGATGGTTTTGGGGACCCTTTCGTCCTGGAAGACTTTACTAGGACTGGGGTTAGGTTCTATCTAGTTGTATCAAGAGCCGGTTTTCTATCTTCCAGGCAGACTGGTCCCACATATACTGATCTCTCTTCCTCCTTCATACTCTGAGTTTTATAAGCTCAGTGAAAACACTGAGGATTCCGTACCCATTTGAAATAGAATGAATTGGGAACTATAGAGACCTTAAAACTATGATAATCACTTAAGTTCTGGATATTGCAGGGAACTTCCTACAGTAAAAGCTTGTGTATATGCGCACGTGTGTGTGCGTGTTGGAGGGTATTGATAGTTAGTCTGTGGGGATGGGTGGGGTGGGGGGTGACCGTGGGGGAAAATGGAGAGAACTGTAATGGAACAACAATAAAAAATGTGAAAAAAGTCTGATCTCATGCATTCACATTTCTTACATATGCCGTAACCCCCCCCCAAAAAAAACACAACAGCTAATGTACCTGAAAGGTATTAAGCACCAAAGGACCTTCCCTTACACTTACATCCCCATTTTGCAGAAGAGGAAACTGGTGCTTATGATGCTAGAGAACTCATGTAAGATCACAGAACCAGCGCACGTCTGTGTCAGATGCAGTCTTGATAGAAATGAATGGCAAATTCTAAAAGATAATTGAAGACAGTAATAAAAGAACAGTTTACGAAGGTGAGGGTAGGGTTAAGGGGTAACACAAGGAATAGTACCAAAGCCTCCAAAGTTGAGCAGTGATGGGAATTCTTGGGCACTCTAGACACAGTGTAACTGAAACAGCAAACACTTGTCTGAGAGATCCCTGAATGTGAACTGCCACCTTAAGGAGAGGAGGTCTTTTACTGCCCAGACCAACCATGTCTTGGCTGGCTGAGAGGCACACGGGAGAGGAGAGAGCCTGTGTCCCAATGGTCAGCTGTAACTGTGAGCCAGAAGGGGAAGGAGTCCAGAGGAGCAGTCCATACTGAGCATCACAGAGCAGAGAATGCATCCGATGGGCAGTGAGAAGAATGAGCTTGATGGTGGAGTGGCAGTTCAACCCGGCAGTGCTCTGAGCCCATTCTCATAACTCCTACTTTATATTCTGTTCCTTGCCTGGGGTTTAGAAGGTCTAGGTCTAGAATTAACAGCCAGTGCTTTCTTTCACTCCAGGGGGGAGAGGAGGAAATTTCCATCCTCCTGAGTGCACCACGGTAGTACACATTGTCCTTGGCATGCCATAAATATTCAGTCAGTGTTATTTGTTATTATTTCTTCCTCTTCCTTGTTTCTTCTTTTGTCCAATTCTTTCTTCTGTGCCTCCGTTCCTTGGCTGAAGTGATGGGGTAAACACATAGAGACTTCATTTTTTTATTATGACCTTTTCTCCCTTCCTTCCTTTTGATTCAAACTGAACTCATCTAACACGCTGTCTCTACCGCCTCCTCCTCCCTTGCATGACCAACTGCTCCTTTATTCATTGGGCCCTCAAGACGGTGAGGTTCTGATCAGCATCAGATAATCCTAGGAGCCAACCCTGGAGTCTCTTGACCACAGAGTCAGAGATTCAGTCAAACTAGAGATAACATCTAGGCCTCAGTTGTAGTTCAGCTTCGGGCCCAGAAAAGTGACAAAACCTGACAAAGCAAAGCCTGGGCTGACTTCAGGAGCAGAGGCACTGATCAGCTACCCCTCCTGAGCACCAGCCAATCAGTAGACACGATAACCAGACGGCAACCCTAATTCCCTTAGTCACTGTGATTAATGATTTTTCCCCTCTGTAACCTATCTTCTGGAGGCCATCAGGGAGGCAGGTCTTTGAGCATTAGCTCACCTGTGTATCCAGGCATCGGGCCATTTCCTGAAAATAAACCCTTCGTTTGCCGCAAGCTCCTGCTTGTGTCTTACTGGGCTGCGGTGTCCGTATGCAAATAGACCCCTTTAGTCCAGTAAGGATGGCACTCAGGGCAAAGGCAGCTAATTTGCAATTCCAGTGCTTTACTTACAGAATCTTATTGTGAGCTGCAAGGTGGGTGGATATTTATTTCTGATTAGCAGAAGAGGAAATTGAACATCTCTGACTTGAAAGCCAGTGTTCTTCCAATACTGGAAGTTTCCACTAGCAAATTAGTGGTAGCAGACTCTTCTAGTATGGAACAAAGAAAAAAGATGACTGATGAAAAAATAGTAGCTGTTTCAATAATTGTTAAATTTATCAAAGATTTATCAAGGAACATTACCTGAACTATGAACAAGAAGTTTGTGGGACCATCTCTCTCTCTCTCTCCATCTCTCTCCTATGTTTCCCTTCGTTCCTCCTTGGTTCTCTTGCTACCATCTCTGACTTTTTCTCCTTCCCACTTATCTTCCCTTTTTCCATCTCTTTTCCCCATGTCTTTTTGGTTGCTTTGTTTTTCTTCCTTTTCTTCTCCTACCCTCTCAAAAATGTTGATGAGATAGAGCTTATGACGACTGCAAGCTCTCAATGCAAACTGCCTGGATCCAGTCCTATTTCTGTCATTATGAGAAATGGGACTTTGAGTCAGGAATTTGATCTCTTTGAGTCTACCTTTTCTTCACGTGGAAAATGGGATGGTACAAACCCTCCTAGTGTTGAGAGAAATATTAGTAACAAATGTAAAGGACTGACTGCCACAATTATTGTTCTCCCTCTTCCTTTTTCCAACTTTCCTTGCACTTTTCTTCCAAAGCTATGGTCCCCAGTGGTAAAATGATTGCTGACTTGTAAATCAATGAAAAAGCAGAGGACTGGTGCATGCTTCAACGCGGGTTGCAGAGGAAAGATGCAGAGACACAGCAGGCGGCATTGGGAGAGTGGTAAGGAATGCTTACAAATGGAAGGATTGTTGTTCATGCGCATTTTGGAAGTGTTCATTTTTGTGGTTGGAGAGACTTCTTGAAGGCAGTGTCCCTGTTGCATTCCGTTGAGAGAGAGCAGCAGGTAGTACTGGAGAGGTGTCATCTTGGATGGGACCTGCAGAGACCCAGGGGTTGACAGGAGGTTGCGTAACTGTTCAGTGTCTAACTCTCCCTGGAATGGCTCGGAGAGAGAGCTATGTGTGAAGTGTATGTGTGGGTAAATAACCCTGGCACAGAGCTTCACGCCATCTGCAGACATCGCGGAAGCGAGGAGGGAAGCCAACACGCTGTGAGTGTCAGAGATTAGTCTTCAGAGTCACAAAGGCACGTCGTTCTGCTTGGAATTCGGGCAGCACTGGAGAGCCTCACAGCCCTGGCACATTTCTCTGAGGCAGCGAAGATGTTTATCAGCTGTAACTCTCGGGTGACCGCGTGTCCAGGAATCCCGGATGCCATCGAATCAAAAAGAACCCAGAAGAAAGCAGCAGAGGCAGTAAGATGATTGTGTTCCATTTTTTACTTAAACCAACTTGCCATGACGCCTGAGATGGAGCTGACCTGCCCATGCTGAGAGCTGGGAAGGCAACAGAGAAGGTCACACCCCCTCAGGCTGCACTTCCTTCAGTGGCAGATGGACCCCCTGTTTGGGGGGTATGGCCACATAACTGTTCGACTAAAAGAAACTGCTTAAAAATTACAGCTCTGCTTTTCAGAATATTTGCTTATGGATCCATGCATTTGTTTTCATAAAACACATTAGTATTTGCAAAATGTTTCTACTGAAAACCCATTTCAAAAATAAAATTCTAATGGTAAAAATAGCACATTTCCATTTACATATAAGTAAAAATTTAAAAAATGCTGTGCATCAGTTATTATGTTGATTATATGAAACATTAAAAATAATATAAACAAAATGTGCTTGACACACTTTACAAAATACTTTAATCAATTTCTTGGTATTGTCTATTTCTAACAGCATTTTTCTGGTGTTCTCAAACACGTATTTTTTCCAACATGGTCTCATTTAAAAAATTTAATAAAATGCCTGCGGTCTTCTTCTAAGTGCAGCTTATGGCTAATAAATTTTGAATTATTGGCATATTTAATGGACTCATCTGTGGATTGTAATATTTTTAGTTGTGAAAATACTCTCTTTTGAGACACAGCAGTAGCTGGTAAGCTAAGAGAAAATATTGCTAATGGAGTATATTTTCAATTCTGTTTTTAACATCAAAATGTGTAAATATGTCAGCCCAAAGAGATTCACACATACTCTTTTTGCCTCCAGAATATCTTTCTTTGAAAAACATTTTAATCAAAGTTCTTCAATTAAGTTGTCTCCATGATTCTTTCGAATGTTTCTCCAAAGTCAGATGCTGCACAATCATAGGGCTTCTTACTTTCACTTCATTTCGATACAGAGTATAAATTTAACCAATTAAAAATAAGAATTCCATCAAGAATCTCAAGACAAGTTGAGATATTCCAAACCGTATTATAGAATTGCAAATTCAAATACTCTACACAGCAAGAGGGCTCATCCTTACATTTACTCATTTCTTTGATACTTGACGTTAGTTTAATTAAATCATTACTTTCAGGAAAATGTGTGCAAAGTAACCATTAGCTTTCGAAATACACGCTGATACTTTTTCATCAGCTTTGTAACCTTTAGTTTCCATTTGGTCACGAATGTTATGGCCCCAGCTTAGATCCCAAGCCAGACCTTATGAGCAAATTCAGTAAGTGTTCGTCACCGTTCTGAAGAAATGGAAATCCAATACTTAAATTTTTGTTTAACATGTGTTGTCCCCTTTAAAATTCACTGCTACTGCCGACTAACTTTGAAGCTTTTAAAAAGTTACCAAACAAGAGCATAAATAAAGAATTGTAGGTTTAGAGCATATGCCGGATGACAAAACCACTATAGTACATACTCCTCTGTATATGGTGCAGGGAAGGATTGTCAGTCTGTTTCCCACACATTTCACATGCACCTAATCTACACTTTCCAAGCTACCCTGTGTCTGTGGCCTGGTAACCTCATGGCTTCGTGCATCTTGCAGGCTGTAGCGCTGACCCAGGCACTTTTTGCCCAGGTGCCCTTGTTTCCTGGAAGGGGCGGCGGTGGTGAACACTTCTGCCACTCACACCACTAAAGACGGAAGGAGCTTGCTTATTCGGACCGCTAGTGGATCAGACCGTTTTGTTTGATTTCCAGAAGGTACCATTACATTCCACCTAGAAAGAGCCAGGGAAGGAAAGTAAGGTTATGTTTGGTGGTTTTCCAAACATAACCAAGTGTTAGATCGAGAACTCTCTTTCTGGCATGTGCATGTCACATATCAACGAGAAATAAAAATGAAAGTCTAGCAAATCCTGCCTGGTTTAATACAACTATTAATAATAACACTTTTATAAAATCTGAGACA